ATATTAAAACTATTTAAAATAAAACCCATCACCAAATATTAAAATTATTTAAAATAAAACCACCACAAATGTTTTGGCAATAAAGTATAAATTATACAAAACAGAATTTTTAAAAGAAAACGACATGATCTCTCACTGCAAGGTCCAAAACTAAGTAACTACACAAGAGTGCAACCACAAGTGCAGCGATCGTTATGGAAAAAACCGCAATCAATCCTGCCGCCGAGCCAGGCGCCCCCACGTTTAAAAGCCGCTATCGCTTTTATTATTAAAAATAGACCCAATATTAATCGAGACAAAATGTAGCTGATTAAATTGCGCAGTTTTTAAAACAAAAAAATATTAAATAGCTCTTTGGATAAGAAAGTTATGACAAGGTGGATGAAAAAATTATTGTCAATTTGTTGTTGTTTTTTTTAAATATTACTAATTTTTAATATAGTTTACAACATTTTTATAAAAACAAATACATGAAAAGAAAGAAAATTGAATAAGGAATGAAACAAAAAAACAATTGTTGTTCTGACTCCTTTAGTAAAAAAGTTACAAGTGTTCAAAGTTAACAAAAAAAAAACACCTTTTTTTTTTGTTTTTTTCCTATATATTTAGTCTCGACCAATGGAGAGAGTCGTCAATTTCCATTTTCAATGTAAAAAAGCATACATTTTCAAATGGTGAAGGTCCCATTTGGTTATACCTCGGTTTTTTTTTCTGCGTCCTAGACCGGGCTTTCCGACGGACTATAATACTATAAAACGCATATGCATTTCTTTATGGTTAGTATTGGAGTAGAAGCACAAAAGTTTTGAATAAAAATATATCCTTTAAATACAATATTCGCTGGATATGCTAATTTAGGTAATTTCTTATTCGACATACATGTTTCCTATTATAGTTTTCATACGTTTATAATTCCGGAGATACTGAAATATTTTGCTTGATTACTAAACTTTGGTTGTTTTTGTTGTGGTCTGCTGATAACACACATATTGTCCTGAAATATTAAAGAAGCTAGACAAAGGTTTGTCCAACTCTTTTGTCAGCTTTGTTAATCTATGCTACTGTTATTCTGCATGCAGACATTTTTTACTGGAGATTTTCTCTAAGAACTGTATTCAGTTTCAAATTTCGGCCAGTTTAAGGAAAGTACCTCTGTTGTAAAGGTATTTCAAAGCCATCCTTTGTAAGATGTAGCCAACAAATACATGCTAAAATGTATGGAAAACAAATCGCAAGATATTCCACAAAATTATTTAAATTAAATAAAAATATACAAATGAAGTGAATAATACCCACCAACAATTTAAAAAGACCTAAAATAAATAAACTTAGGGGACTGGAGCTATAAAAAAGGTAGCCATAATTTGTTATGCATCCTCATCTATAGGGAAATCGTCTTCATCTCTTCAATTACCTTTCAAAATAGACCAAACCAAAACAGCACAAAATTAAAAGTGATCTACTTTTCACGACGTATTCTATGTACATGTGAGATTATTAATAATTTATTAAATAGAAATACTGTATCCTAAAAAATATCGGCATTTTATAATGAAAATGTCATTTAAAAAGAAACATGATTTTTTTTCTCATATTGGCAAGCCTGGCGACTACAGGTTGCCAGATCAATAGGCGACTACTAGGTACTTCGAAAAAAATGGCGTCCATAATGGACTCCTATGTCGCGACCTCCCCATTTTGTTTTGAATGCCTAATAAAAATTAAACATGACAGACAATGTACTGTAAATAGATCAGGAGCACAATTCATAAACCACTACGGTTACTAAGAAAGGGTCTGATGTCACATAATTATAAAGCAAGGTGACACAAAGTATACTGCTCAAGTTCATAGATACATTAGCTTTTAAAAAATCCACTATTTTTTTATTACTATTTAGTGGTGTAAATATTTTTATTTTAGGATTATTTTCCAGTGTTAAAATTTTTATAATATCGGTAGTTTGATGTTTTTAAAGATAAACTATAAAACAGCAAGGAAAAATTACGGAATTATTTCCATAAAATTTAAAATTAATTACTTTCTATTTGAATTATAAAGATATATAATAATATTATGTAAATGGTTTATTTTAAACTCGAGCTGCAGTGTTGCAAACAAAATTCTTACAAATCCTTTTTTCAATAACTTACGTTCTTTTCGTCAAAATCTCAATTTCTTTAAGCGAACATGGACTCCATCTCACCAAAATATATCTTTCATAAGCCATATAAAGTTATAATAAAACAAATAGAAGAGCCAGAAGTGGCAGGTACGATTCATATCTACACCGACGGTTCTAAAACAAAACAAGGCTCAGAATGTGGAATATACTCCAAATTCTTAAACCTAAACATAAAATGGGCTCTAAGCAATAGTGCCAGTGTAGTTCAAACAGAGCTAACGGGGATTCTCATAGCAGCAAAAGAAATAAATTAAAACAATATCACTGGAAGGAACATGCTCATCTATACAGATAGCAGACAAGCACTACTTACCCTAAACAGACCACGAACTTATTCAGGGTTAGTACTAGAATGTCACGAAGCTTTGGCCGAAATATTCATTAACAACGTGGTCACTTTAAGATGGATTAAAGGTCACGCCACATCAAAAGATAACCGTCTTGCTGATTCACTAGCCAAGAAAGCAGCCAACCAAATACTTTTTGGACCTGGCCCTTCTATTGGCCTGACAAAATCGGTAATGACAGACCTAATCAAAGAACATTTCCTTGTGAAATTTAAGGAAAGATGGAATGCAACAAGAAATTGCAGAGTTGCCAGGAAGTTCTTAGGTTATCCTGATAACACTGCAGCAAACTAATACTTGACTATGACTAGACAGAATCTGCGCCTAGTCACAGGCATTTTGACTGGTTATTGCCAAGTACGAAAGCATCTCCATATCATGGGGCTGTCAGAATCCGCATTCTGCAGAGGGTACGAACAGGAAGATGAGACTATCGAGCATATCCTTTACAATTGCTCGACGCTCTCATTTATTAGAAAATTTGTGTTTGGCGAGTATCGGCTAACACCCGCCGATATAAGAAAAGCACCTTTAGGCGACGTTGACAAATAAATCTGTAGGCTGGCTTAAGAGCTAGGAGGTGCCTATCTTCTCAGGAGGATGCACAATGGGCATTATGAGACCTAAGTGCCGTGGGGTAACCCACCCTCCACACATTACAGATACAGATACAGATAATATAAGGTAGACAAAGCTGCAATATATTTAATTAGTGTATAATGTGTGAATTTCAGAATAATAATGGGTGTTCCAACAAGAGTTTCCGGATGTTGATAATAAATAAAAGAAAACGTTTACAACATAAATGACAATTTTTTATTGTAATATGAAGTATAAATCTTTACAATTATACGTGGAATATAATATCTGGCAAATGGCCACCACGACTTCTCTGGCAGGAAACAATTCTTTTGTTGGAATTATGCATCGAATTTTCTCTTTCAACTGTTGAACTGTTTGGGGATTGTTTTCGTAAGCTTTGCTTTTTACATAACCGCACAAAAAATAATCCAGCGGCGTCAAGTCGCATGATCTAGGTGGCCAATTTACGTCCCCATTTCTTGAGAGAATCCTCCCATCGAATCTAGTACGCAATAAATCCATCATTTCTCTTGCTGCATGACATGTCGCACCATCCTGTTGAAACCACATATTGTTAAAGTCCATGTCCCTTATCTCATGCCATAAAAAGTCGTTAATCACCGCTCGATATCGCTCCCGTTTACCGTAACAGCTTGTTCGTTTTCATTTTCAAAAAAGAAAGGTCCAATGATACCTTCAGCCCAAAAACCACACCAAACCATGACACGTTGAGCATGCATTGGCTTTTCATGGATTTGTCTAGGATTTTCATTGCCCCAGATGCGACAGTTTTGCTTATTTACGTAACCGCTCAAATGAAAATGAGCCTCGTCGCTTAAGATGATTTTGTTGTAAAAATAATCATCATCTGCATTCCTCTGTAGGATCCAGTTAGTAGAATCACGGCGTTGGCTATGGTCTGCTGGCTTTAACTCCTGTGTTAGCTGAATCTTGTAAGGATGGAGAGCCAAATCCTTTTTCAAAATTCGCCATGTTGAGGTTTTGCTGATGCTCACTTGCTGCGAACGCCTTACAATAAACATTTGGGGATTGTCAGCCACACTTTGACGAACAGCTTCAATATTATCAACCGAATGAGCTGGACGTTCACGCTGTTTTGTTTTAATATCTTGCATAGAACCTCTAGTTTAGAATTTACGCACTATATTACGAATGGTTCTTTCTGAGGGTCGATTTTGTATGCCAAAATAATAACGAATTCGGCGATATGTAGCTATCACAGAAGACTGATTTTCAAAGTACGTTTTAATAACGTAAACTCTTTGTTCTACTGTATACCGCTCCATTGCTAAACTTGTACTGGTTTGCAGAATGCAACAAAAAAAGAATACCACATAAAAGGTTTGTGACAAAAAAAGTAGCAAACAAAAATATCCGGAAACTCTTATTGGAATTACTTATATATCTACCATTATTCTTTAATTTCAGTTTAGGTTCAGTTTCCATGATTTATACCCTAATGTCTTCCTTAAATTGAACACTGCAAATTTTCACAGTTTTAACATTGATCAGATATTTTTTAAAACAACATTTTATTCATATTTTTTGTAAATGGTTGCTTTTTGGAACATGGAAAAACTATATCCTTTCTCCTAATGATATTTGTTTGTAAAAAGTATTTTATGAACTTTCATATTATTGCACTACTATTCGCCTTATGGTATAGTGTTTAATAATAGCACAAAAAATATTATATTTTCAAAAAAATACCTATATTTAAATAAATAAAAAATTAAATTTTTAAAATCTGTGTTAAATCAGTTACGTTGACATAGGTTATTTACAAATCCAGGTCACTGATTCCAAATTACAATTTTCATGAGCATTGCTGCTACTTCTTTAATTATATATTTATTTGTTTCCAGCTTCACTCAGCAGTTTAACCACTGGAATTATAATATCCTGGCCATCGCCGTTTATTCCAAAAATAGTCGAGGACAAAGAAAACTACGACATTACAGAAGAACAAGCATCCTATTTTGCTGCAATTAACATAATCGGTTTAATTGTACTATCACCCTTCTTTGTACCTCTCGTCAACATCCTTGGAAGAAAAAAATGCATTTTGATGAGTTCGATACCTTATATCACAACGTTGCTAATCAAAGCGTTCGTCACTAATATTTGGGGACTCTATTTGGCAAGATTAATTACTGGTTTCGGAGATGTGTTAATTTTCAACTGTTTACCTGTATATATAGGAGAAATATCGACACCAAAAGTACGTGGATTATGGGGAAATGCTTTCGTTTGCTCCATCTTTTCTGGTCAATTTGTGGTTAACGTTCTGGGTACTTATTTTAGTGTACAAGCAACTTCTTTCATAGCCGTAACTATTCCAATAGCGTTGCTTATTTTATTCCCTTTTATGCCGGAATCGCCCTACTTTTATATCAGTAAAGGTAAAGACGAAGAAGCTAAAATCAATTTAAGAAGATTACGAAGAAAAGTTAACGTGGATAAAGAATTTGAAACAATCAAAACTGCTGTTCAAAAACAGTTATCAGATCCCAGCGGTTGGATGGATATATTTAGGATAGCGATTAATAAAAGAGCATTTTTGGTGGTGACTTTCTTGAGATGTGCCCAGATATTCGGAGGCGTAATGACATTTGCAGCATACACGAAATATATATTTCAAAATACTCGTTCTTCAATTGATCCGAGTGTAGCATCCATACTTTACGCAGCAGTCAATGCCACGTGTCATACTTGCATGTCTCTTATCTCGAATAAACTTGGAAGAAGAAAATCATTTATATCTTCAACATTTTTGTGTTCACTAGTGCTCTTTGCTTTAGGAATATACTCATTGCTGCAGGATTTCTATCCAGCGGTACCACTAGAAGGAATGGATTGGTTTCCTTTAGCAGGAATGTTGACGTATCTACTCTTCTGTTCATTTGGTTTGGGTACCGTTCCAACTCTACTATTAGGAGAACTGTTTCCTTCTAGCATTAAAAACAAAGCAGTTGCTTTGGTGGGTTCGATGTTTGGTCTAGCTGCTTTTTCGGTTAATAATTTCTTCTATTATTTTGCGACTTACACTGGGTTGTGTGGACCGTTTTTGTTTTTTGCGGGTTGCAACTTTTTAGTCACTATAATATCGTATTTTGTTATGCCAGAGACTAAGAATAAAACATTAGAAGAAATACAACAGGCTTTAAAATGAATGTGTTCGTTTAAAATATTTTTCTAATACATTTTTTCCAGATAAGGTGTAATGTTTTTCTTCATTTACCATAAAAAATCAAATACACAAACTATTGTATAGGTGCAACCAAGATACCATAAAAATATTGCATGCATACTTAATGCACTCGTGTAACAACCAGGACGCCTAAAGACCATTTGCAACTACTGATAGGTCTTTAGCTACTGTGGTCATTATACTATTAAGGGATTACGGCAGCGTTGTCACCAGCCAAAGGGTCCGGGAGTCCTGAAGGAACATCCATTCGCCAGTGGCAAAAGAAAATAATATAGAAAAAATAATAAAATACAAAAAAACATCCCTTAATAGCATATGTCGAGCGGTTCTTGGCAACTAGTTTTAGACTCTTTTAGTCCTAAGGGAATAGAAACGCCGAGGCTTCTCAAATGCTCGAAGTATTTTTGCTGGTTTGGAAAGGAAGGAGAGATTAATAAGTATAAAAACATTAACAAATGTATATTAACAATAAATATAAAAACTTGACAAAAAGTCTTAAGAAAAAAAAAAAATAAAATTCCATTTAGGGAATAAATCACTATAACTACATAGTAATATAAAGATATGCATAAGATAAATAAAATTCGGGACGAAAATGTAAAATTGGCATTTAAATGTAAATCAATCAATCAATTAATATTAAACAAAAAAAAACACTTTAAAATTAAGTTAAAATATTTACCCATAATTCATATCGTACACAAAAACTATACCCTACGCTTTACTTTACAATACAAAACCAGGGTTTCGCCCAAGGGGCGAAAGTTCTGGACCTTAGTCCGAACCCGACTGAGCGACTGAGCGTTTACCCAAGTGATCCTTTCTATATAAACCAAAATTTATGTGACTGTTGATTGTATTTAACAATGTCACGTTCAATGTAGATTAAGTAAATTAAAGGTTTGTTTCATTGTGTCTTTTTAATTATTTAATTTAAACATTAAATACTTGTTTAGAATTTTTGGTAAATTCTTTAGATTTTTTCAATTAATAATAATGCCAATTATTACACTCGGATATCTCAATTATAGTCAGTTATATTTCATAATTATTTCATATCTGCCATACCGTGTTATGACAGCAGCATGCTAACAATTCAAAATGCAATGTATGGAGTTCCTATGTGAATTTCCAGAAAAAACGACAGTTTTATAATGAAGTAGTTTTTAATTTTTTATTTATATACACAGGGTGTTTCAGAATAAAGTACTGTAATTTTGGGGATTTGTAGATCTTAACTAATTATAAAGAAAAGCTAAATATAATTTTCCTATAAACGTACCAGTTTTCATTCTACGGGGTGATAAAGTCAATTTCATAAATACATAATTTTCTAAATATCTTCCCTTACGGTAAAAACTAACTTAAAAATGTAAAATATGTATATATTAGTTAATATTTATAATTTTTTTGGCAGTTTCTTGGGTTTTTAGATGCCTGTATATTGTATTCAAATGAAAATCATGTGTTTCTGGTTTAGATTTATCAGCACTAATCAGTGCCTTCTTCAGTATGGTATTTATTTAAGTGACATTTTTTACTTTAACATTGTTTTTTTTTTTGTTTGTTAGTTTATTAATTTTAAATTAAGTTTTAATTTTAAAATTATATGTGCCTGGAAGTAATATATATCATGAAATATATTCTATGAATATTTTGTAAATTTTGCAATATATTTTGACAAATTGGCAAATTTGAGGCACATGTCAGAAAATTAGGAAGCTGTCTGGAAGACAGCTTATTATACAGGATACAAATACTAAAGGTATGCTGACTTTCGATTCAAAATTCGTCCAAACCACGCATGACGTAATGCGGGACGAACTTTCAAGTTATTTTGACACTTTTCGTGTAAAATAATTTAATAATTTATATGTTTTTGTGATAGTAGTGACTATATTTTCCTATATATAACAGGGAAGAACTAAGTTAATGTTTAAAATGCCGGGCTGCGTAGTGGAGATATTTCCGAATGCCACAAAATATGGGTAAATTCTTATCGAAGAAAGGACAAACTTAATTGAAATTGCCCTATCCATTTTGAGGAAAGTAGTTGTGAGATTCCTCTTAAACATAAACGCAAGAAAAAGAAGCTGAATTCCACCAGGTACATGGGCCTCATTAAGCAAGGAAAATAAATCGGTGTTTAAAAATTTTAGCTGATAAAACAGTAGTTTCCTGTCCCAATACAACGGTCCTTTTGAAGTAATGCCATGCATAAGCAGGACACGAACATAAGAATAAGATAAATGAACAGGAAAATTGGTTTTGAGTATTTTCAAAGTAAACTTGACAAAAAATATTTAAATTTACCAAATAAAAAGTAATGTTTTTGTGTACTTACTTTTTGTAAATAAATAATTTGTTTCTGCACACTTATTTTTAATTCACATAATAAAAGAGATTGCAAGAGAACTACTACGCCCAGAAAGTACAAATTTGAGTCAAACTCAAAGACGTTACAACTTTGAATGTCTTTGGTCAAACTTGTATTTTTAGTCTATATCTTTTACTAATCTTATGGCCATGTTATGGATTTTGTCACAAAATACCTATAATTCATGAGAAAATTTAATATTTTTATTTGTAAACGAATATATTACAAAATAACCAATTTAAGAGGAGTATTTACTTGGCTTTAGAGCAGAGCATGCAAGGGTTTCGTAGTACCCCCACTTTTAAAGTTTATTTTTGACATATTTTAAAAGAAAAAAATATGTGCGTGTAGGTAAAGGTTAAATCTGTGCTCCTCTGGAAACACTTTTTCAAAAATTTAATTTGTTTTTTCTAAAAAAAAAAAACAAAAAACTCGACTTTTTTTATCCAATTTCTCAATTTTTTTAGACAAAACTAAATTGAATTTTAAAAAAGTGGTTCCAGAGGAGCATAGATTTAACCTTTATCTACACGTACATATTTTTTTCTTTTAAAAATACTTAAAAATAAACTTTAAATGTGGGGTACTACGAAACCCTTACATTGCAAGATTTTTCGTCTAGCAAGTGGCCCCTCAGTTAGATTTTTAAGAAATTAATATTTGTGCATGAAAACAATTTACAAAATATTTTACTGATGTTTTACGAGGGATAATTAAAGTTTACGTATTTGTAGGTACACCTTATTGTTTTACGTAAATCAGTTCTGTAATACTAATATAGACATATTTATATAATATGCAATCGGTTTCATAGTACACCAATTTTACGGATTATTTTTTATTTTTTGAAAAATTATGTAAGTACAGGTAAAGGAGTCACTTTTTGAACATTTGAATCGGTTTATTTTGAGAAAATGTAAGAAGATATCTTTCTATCGAAAAAAAAAAAAAATACAAATACAAATAAAAATGCTAGAAGAGAACAATATATATGTTTTAAAAGTGGAGGAAATTCCTCATAATGACAGCTTTTGGGACGAAAAGGTGCAAAATAAAATTCAAAATTATTATATGCAATATGCCTTACCAGAACTAGTTGACAGCAGAGCTAATAGAGACATGGAAGTACGGGACAGGATGCCAAATAAATGGTGAGTTTAACAGTACGGGTTTTTTATGAATTTGTTCTAGAAGCTGTACCTCATTATAACAGATTATTCAAACAATAAAAATATTTTTTATTAAAATATAAATAATAATATGCTGAAATATTATATCTGATCGCTACATATTATAAAACCAAAGATACCTTTTCATTTAACCAACTCACACATGGCTACTCCAAGTTTAAATAAACAGTTATAGAAAATATTTTTTAAAAACCTAGTTTATTTAAAAATATAAAATGTCATGAGACCGTTTATTGTTTGTTTACAATAGCCTTCTGTTTTTGTTTCTTCGACTGTTTGTATCGAGGACATATTATTATGTAATATAGAAGGCAATGTATTGCTAAACTATGGACGCTTTTCTACTCTTAATCAATTATTATTAGTAGAGTGTGGGGTCTATTCTGTAACAATTGCTTTATATTTAACGGCCTTTAAAATATTGGCGGCCTATAAAAATATGTTCGTATTCGTTAATTTACTTCTGTCATTATTTAAACAGATTTCTTTAAGATAGTCCTCTAATGTTTTTTAAAGATCCGTTTAAATAATGACAGAAGTAAAGAAGAAAATATTTTTAAAGGCCGTTAAATATAAAGGAATTGTTACAGAATAGACCCCTGTATGTATTAAAATATTCGCTCTAGAAAACGATTTCCCTCTTTGTCACAAGCTGAATTTTTCAGAGATAAAAGATCATAATAAGGTAACCCTTATTCCAGAGGTAACACAAAATTATATAGACTGTGCAGAAGGGCACTATCATCAAAAATCCATATACTGATACCGCCGAATAAAAAAAAATATTTATTTTTTGGTCCAATGCACAATAAAATCTTTGTAAGGAGTAATTTTTTATACTTCTTTAAAAAAAATTTCAGCCCTTCAAAAATTTGTTTAAAAATTCATTTTTTTAAATATAATTTTATCATTTAACAAAAAGTAAGGCCCTAATGAAAAACGTAGTATAGCTCTGTTTCTCTCTACGTGTCGGCTGATGCATCACATTATTGATATGCTCAAATGTTTTTCATTTTTTTATTATAAAACTTTTCGTTAGGTGCCAATGGACAAAGTGTCATATTGTCTGTTTTTACTAAAAAATTAATAAGTGTGTTACATATTAAAGTTCCTAATAAATTGGGAAGAAATATAGACATTTTTTAGGTTTTTCTTACATTTACATTCATCCTGTTATAGCTGAATGCCTGAATATATTTGGGTAAGTTTCCGTTAAACATTTTAATTACGGATTTGTTTTTGCAAGAAGCAAAGACACAAATGATATCAAAATATGACTTCTTAATCCTTGCATGGTCAACAGTTTCTTCACAATATTTTATTAGCAAAGGATATGGACAGAAGCATTAGGTAATTATGCCGAAATATTTAAGTTTGATCTGACAGGCTTCTCC